GGGAGGTAGATACAAGAGAAGAATTTTATGCTAAATGGGATGATGTGGTCACAACCAATGGACTGAAGGAGGATATGTGGTTGAGCTCTATTTATGCTTTGCGTGCAAATTGGGTTCCGGCATACTATAAACATGTGTTTTCGGCTGGAATGTCAAGCAGTTAGCGAGCTAAAGGCTCTCACGCATTTTTCAAGTAGTATATTGACATACGAAACACATTGGTGAAATACATAACACGTTTTGATAGGGTGCTTGCCCAACAACGACATAATGAGGTGGTTGTTGATCATGTTGATTAGAACGAAAAACCTACACCCTCACTCCGCACGTCAATGGAAACTCAAATGGCAGGTATGTGTGCAATACCTGAATACTCTTTTATGTTTTCTAAACTCTTATTTCTCTTTTATTGGTGTCATCTGATATTTGTTAGCACTACAATTTAATGTGAATTGGCTTCAAACTCATGAATTATTTTTTTGAAACCTATTTTGCAAGATCAATTATTAATCTAAATGGCAACAAACAACGTATTAAGTTATTACTCAGCATTTTATGTTTTCAGGTATGTACACACGTGCTATACTTCACAAGGTTCAGGTGGAGGAATGGAAAAGTCTTTTTTGTTTTCTGGAATTGGTAAAGGTGAGGTTTTAGTAGTTAAGGGGATTGTGCATGATAAATGTGTCGATTAAGCGTATTGCAGCTGCAAAGGGTTTGAATTTTACGGGATTATATGTCGCCACGTGCTAGGCTGTTTGAGAATGAAATAGGTTGAGCATTTTCTAGATAAGTACATAGTGAAGGTAGTTGAAAAGTGCCGGTGTGGTTTGTAATAGTGAGGGCAAAGAAATTAAGGATTTTGTTAACCCTTGTACGGTATGAAGAGATCGATGTTGTCCAAACCTACTAACGAGTTGACTGATTGTGCGCTACTCAACAATGAAGGTAATAAAGTACTTGTAGGGAATATTTTGGTCTTGCACAACTTTGTGATTAGACATCGGAAACCAAGAACTGGTCGGCTAGACGTACACAACAAGTCCACACGAGTTGTTGATGATCCTATTGAAAATAATTTCTGATCATGGAATAGGTGATCCGTAAATTTGAGGATGAGCTGAGAGCCTCGCAAAGATTGTGATAATTGTATCGGAGAAGATGCAATAATGTTGGTGTGCACAACATTCCATGGTAGACCATAGTAGTTGTCCAATTCTAATTTTGTTCGCTGCGGTGCTCTCTCATTTAGTGACACCAACTGCGACATGCCTTCACTTAGGGATCGCCATATGAAGAAAACCTTGGCTTGATCACACTTACAATCAGGGAGGCGAAGGGCAGAGGCGATGATGGACAGAGAGAAAGGAATACCGGACCTTCTTAGATTAACAGTGTAGAACAAGCAATCCAATGTTGTAAGGGAGGGCATCAACATCATTTGGGGTCAACTAAAGGCTGTATCGTTACACATGAGTACTCTAATCACTGTGGCAGGCGTTGGTACGGCAATTGGTGACTTCTTTAACAAGAAGCACACCACTGAGAAGTAGAAACTATTGAGTCCGAGTGTGGCTAGGATAACTACCATTTCAAAGGAGTTGGAAACTGTAAGTTTGTTCCATTTAATTTAATTTTCTTCATTTGTTTCGAAATTTCCATTTTATTTCATCTTGTTGGGAAATAGGCCACTTTTGAGTTGAAGGTGTTGCAGACGAAAGTGGATGCCATTCAAACTCCTTCCTGACCTCTCTTATCTCACTTATCAATCAAAGCATAAACACGGAGAAGAACAAGTTGACTAACAATGAACTATCATCTCCTCTAAGGCATTGGTCGTGTAAGTTATGTGAACTAGAGTTTACATTTTTTAATGCTTTCGGTTTCCATATGAATTCTCACAGGCTTCGTGGATCCAAGTCGAAATACTTACCTTTGGCTGCCAAGCAGTACAACTATAAGATATGCAACAAAGGATTTCATCTACTCGAGCTCTGTATGGTCATATGCATCCTCACAAGGTTCGCCCAACTCGGCCGAAAACCTTACCCTCAGGTGTTCGGTACGGTAGTAGTACTCTTAACCTTATCCTTGAATGTAACTCTAATTTGTAAGTTTTTTCCATTTAATTTATTTTTCTTGATTTGTTTCGTAATTTCCATTTAATTTCATCTTGTTGGGAAATATGTCACTTTTGAGTTGAATGAATCGACGAAGGCGTTGCAGACGAAAGTGGATGCCATTCAAACTCCTTCCTGACCTCTCTTATCTCACTTATCAATCAAAGCATAAACACGGAGAAGAACAAGTTGACTAACAATGAACTATCATCTCCTCTAAGGCATTGGTCGTGTAAGTTATGTGAACTAGAGTTTACATTTTTTAATGCTTTCGGTTTCCATATGAATTCTCATAGGCTTCGTGGATCCAAGTCGAAATACTTACCTTTGGCTGCCAAGCAGTACAACTGTAAGATATGCAACAAAGGATTTCATCTACTCGAGCTCTGTATGGTCATATGCATCCTCACAAGGTTCGCCCAACTCGGCCGAAAACCTTACCCTCAGGTGTTCGGTACGGTAGTAGTACTCTTAACCTTATCCTTGAATGTAACTCTAATTTGTAAGTTTTTTCCATTTAATTTATTTTTCTTGATTTGTTTCGTAATTTCCATTTAATTTCATCTTGTTGGGAAATATGTCACTTTTGAGTTGAATGAATCGACGAAGGCGTTGCAGACGAAAGTGGATGCCATTCAAACTCCTTCCTGACCTCTCTTATCTCACTTATCAATCAAAGCATAAACACGGAGAAGAACAAGTTGACTAACAATGAACTATCATCTCCTCTAAGGCATTGGTCGTGTAAGTTATGTGAACTAGAGTTTACATTTTTTAATGCTTTCGGTTTCCATATGAATTCTCACAGGCTTCGTGGATCCAAGTCGAAATACTTACCTTTGGCTGCCAAGCAGTACAACTATAAGATATGCAACAAAGGATTTCATCTACTCGAGCTCTGTATGGTCATATGCATCCTCACAAGGTTCGCCCAACTCGGCCGCAAACCTTACCCCCAGGTGTTCGGTACGCTAGTAGTACTCTTAACCTTATCCTTGAATGTAACTCTAATTTGTAAGTTTTTTCCATTTAATTAATTTTTCTTGATTTGTTTCGTAATTTCCATTTAATTTCATCTAGTTGGGAAATATGTCACTTTTGAGTTGAATGAATCGACGAAGGCGTTGCAGACGAAAGTGGATGCCATTCAAACTCCTTCTCGACCTCCCTTATCTCACTTATCAATCAAAGCATAAACATGGAGAAAATCGGGTTGACCAACAATGGACTATCATTTCTCCTAAGGCATTGACCGTATAAGTTATGTGAACTAAAGTTTACATCTTTTAACGCTTTCGGTTGCCATATGAATTCTCACAGGCTTCGCGGACCTAAGACGAAATACTTACCTTTGGCTGCCAAGCGGTACAACTGTAAGATATGCAACAAAGGGTTTCCATCTACTTGAGCTCTGTATGGTCATATGCATCCCCACAAGGTTTGCCCAACTCGGCTGCAACCCTTGTTTGATATATGCCTTGGTTTCAAGATTCGCTCCAACGGTATGAACAGCTTATCTTCTTCTCAAATAGGATTTAAAGAGTCTTTGGTGCACACTTTCATAGACTTATACAGACTGAGACTAAATGAGACTTGCATGAATCCCTAGTTTATTTAATGCTTCCGCTCCTACTTTGATTTCATATTAGATATGGCATGCTAGGTGATTTATACTCTCAAAGTTTGGTTGTAGAGTTTTTAGAAATCTCTACACAACATCATTCCCATGATATTCCCTTCAAGTGGTATCAGAGCCAGGTTTATGAAAAGGTGCACCCTTTCGAGTTTTTGAAAGAATATGAGCTTACTTACATGGTTATAAATGTTATAACATGTCATATCTTTCATGATTGACTCACATGTACGCTTGATACTTGGAATTTTGGATGTTGCATGAAAGAGATTTTTCAAAATGGACAAAAGGGGTGGCGACATCTTTGGGCTTTTTGGTCTTGTGTGTTTTTCATGCTTATCTAATATACATTGTTGTGTTGGTCTTGAAATTCTAAACACAAATATGATTTTTCCCAGATTTTAGGATTTTATAAAAAGGTTTTGAAAGAATAAGAATGTTCTTTATGTTCTTGAGATTTTCATAAAAGTTCTTGTTGATCTATAGAGAATATTGCTTTTTGATTCATGGAATTGTATGAGATATGATGGTTACATGTTAGTCAAAAACATTTTATGACAAGGGCCATAAGGTTGTACCTTGTGTCTCCCATTGCCATTTCATCTTTTGAAATTGGCCAATGAGAATAAAGATGCTTTATGGGTACAATTTGGAATATCATGACAAATGGGACCACACACACAAAACCTCCCCTCCCCTTTGCAATTTTCGGCAGCCACTTAGGGAGACCCATTTTGGGTCTTCATGCAATTACACAAAAATATTGGGTCCAAATTTAAAATGTAGTATTTTCAATTTTGGCCCATAACTTTTGAAATTACAAATTTTGCCCTAATACACTAAAAACAAAACTGTTTTGTCTTTTAGTGAAACATTAAAATTTTATGTTTGATTTAAATGTTCCATTGGAAATAAGCCCATAGGTTCTAAAGTCTCAATTGTTTAATGTATCATATCCTTTATTGTTTAATTTGATTAAATGATTGGAATAAGGATGATTATGGACTTAAGGCCCTAAAAACCAAATTGAGCTATGTGAGAATATTCAATTGTAATTTATTTCCTTTCCTTCTTAGACACAGAAATCTCTGTATATATGTAAAGGGTTTTTGCCCACTGAATAATCAATAAAATATACTCGTTATCTTACATGGTATCAGAGCCCTATTAGCTCCTTGAGTGTTTTTTTTTCCCTCCCACCCAACCCTAAACCCTTTCTTACTCCCTTCTTTCTTCCCTCTGTCTTCATGGCTTCAGACAACAGCACCTCCAATGTTGTCCTCACCCCCAACTCCAACACTAGTTCCTCTCCTTCTCTCATCACCATCAACGCTGCTGCACAGCTTCCTCTCAAACTCACCCCTCTCAACTATCCCTCCTGGCGTGCTCAGTTCAAAGCCCTTCTCCTTGGGTATGACCTCCTTGGCTATGTGGATGGCACTCTCGCTTGTCCTGCCAGCAACAACACCCTTTGGAAACGCCAAGATCAACTCCTTCTCCACGCTATTCTTGCCTCTGTCTCTGAATCTGTCATCTCCCTCATTGCTGCTGCCTCAACCTCTAAAGACGCTTGGGACAAACTCACCAAGCTGTATGCGAACCGTACACGTTCTCGAGTCATGAGCCTCAAGGAACGTCTCACCCTTGCTCGTCGTGATTCCAAGCCCGTGATGGAATTTCTTCAATCCATCAAAGCCCTTGCTGACGAACTTGCCCTCATTGACTCTCCTATATCCGACGACGATCTCGTGATCCATATCCTCAATGGTCTCGGCTCTGACTTCAAAGAGATCGCTGCTGCTATTCGTGCTCGTGAAACACCTATCACCTTTGAAGAGTTGCATGATAAACTCGTTGACTTCGAGAGTGCACTCAAGCGCCATGACACTCCTCCTGAACCTCTTGTTGTCACTGCCAATAATACCCAGCGAACCAACTCCAACCGTTCCTTCCACAAGGGTTCTACCACATCCCATGCCTACAGGCCACCTTCTCAGCAACGTGGTATTCTTGGCCCCGGCAACTCTTCTCCACACACTTCCCGTCCGTTCTCCGGCCAGCGTCGCTCCTTCAATCAACCAGGCCACGGCTACAAAGGTTTCTGTCAATTGTGTGATCAGCAAGGTCTCTTACATCCAGAGGGAGGTTAATTAGTTTGAAGTCATTCTCTCAATTTCTTTGAAGTTTCCAACAGATTAAACAAAGCCTACTCTATATATAATATACCAATCAAAGTGGGGACAGTATCGGTGTTGTTGGAGTGGGCCCTCGGCCCGTTAACCTGGAAAATTTGACAAGCCACCAGTTGGCTCATCGACTCTGGCGCTTCTCATCATGTCACCCCTGATCTCGCCAACCTTTCTCTCCACACCAATTATGAAGGTCCTGACTCAGTTGTCATTGGTAATGGTTCAGGCATGGGTATCACCCATGTTGGCTCCACCTCTCTTCCTACCTCCTCTCGTGCTTTTGCCTTACATGATGTCCTTTGTGTGCCATCTATTAAAAACAATTTAATTTCTGTCTCTCAGTTTTGTAAATCTAACCATACTTCTGTTGAATTTTTTCCCTCTCATTTTTCTGTAAAGGATCTCCGCACAGGGGCGACTCTACTTCAAGGCCCGAATAAGAATGATGTGTACACGTGGCCCGGGTCAATGAGTGACGTCTCCTCCCCTTCTGCACTTGTTAGTACGGCTTCTACCCTGCATGACTGGCATAGTCGCCTTGGCCACCCTTCTCAACTTGTCTTGGATCAGCTCATCCGCTCTCACTCTCTCCCTGTCACTTCAAAGTCATCTGTTAAGTCTCCATGTGTGTCGTGTCAATGTAATAAGAGCCATATAGCATCCCTGCAAGATGTAGCATATAATTTCCAGAAGCATCTGGAAATGTTGCAAAAAGATTTCTTTGACCAACCCCATATATGAGGCTATATACTTTTTCCTGGCGACACTCAATTGAATATTGAAATATGTTCCTTCCCATTGAATTGGTCCGCCACAATATATCAGGATCTACTTTACATAAACGAATAATGAACTCAATAATCCCACTTCGTACAGCTCGGAATATTGCTGCATAGACAAGGCCATCTTCCATTTCTTGAGTGTCTAGATCTTTTAAAACTTCACACATGTAATCCAAAATATGTAGGGATCGAGCGCATGGATCAATTTCATTTCACATATGCGGTTGATTCCTAGGTTGATGTTGGAAAAAATGTTACAACCAGTTTTTGTAGAAATAAAATACGTGGATGACAAAACCAATGTGTAAAGATGGAAAAGAATGTTTGCATATATACCTAAAAGCTTGCGGAGGCTTGAAGAAGGCCCTTGCGTTAAACCGAAGACTGCAATGCAAATTCAAAATCTAGCCTTTATCAAAAGATAAATATGCCTTGTTCATACAAAGTATGAATGCCTTGTTTATGAGCGTACTAGAACCAATTTCTTTTTGTGGCAAACTATGTCATGAACAACTTCTTATCAAATAGATGAGGAGAATATAGCAAACCTGAGAAACTGATATTTTGGTTGCCCAGTTTCTCTTCTAGATTTTCAACATTTACATGAAAATCAGGGATGGCAAGAGGATGTTGTATGTGTATACCTATAAAGAAAAGAGAACAAAGCTCAGTCAATATAATAAATAAATATTATTTTTGGACATGGAAGATCAATTTCAATAAGGACCATTATGGTAGGGCCCGCCGTGTGTAAGATGTTGTTTGTATATTATCTTTTGTGATAACAGATTTTAAACAAATATTTGGACCATTATGGTAGGGTCCGCCGTGTAATGTGATCGAATAATTGAAATCTTTATTTCGACTAAAATATAATTTCCAGAATTTGCTCCATCTCATACGAGTTGTTAATATATATTATATTTTCCTTTAAGTTTTTGAATCCATCATTAATACATCCAATGGTCAAAATAATTTTATATATAATCTGAATCATTTTAAGTGAAATTACATGTTTTGGAATTTAGATTATTTTATTTTAAGTTCAAATGTTCAGATAATTAAATAACTAAGGTTTAAAACAAAAATAATGTCAAGGAAAATTAACGACAAAAAAAAGGGGGGAGGGGGTTGGTGGGGGTGGGGGTGTGGGGTGGTTAGCCATTATTAAACAATTTAAGTTGCAAACTCAAATTCTGAGTCTGCAAGGTTAGAGGAAAAAATTGTTTGTGTTAAAAAAATACATGAATAGTTGTATTTTGGAGTGTAAAATTTAGGTTTAGCCCATTTATATTGTTGGAGTTGGTTTGAACATCCAAATAACTTAACCCTTGGATATTATATAATCCAAACCAGATTGTATTTCAATAATCTAAACCGTAACTTCTAGATATTCCTTCACAAATCATGTCAGCAAAAAATCAATTGAATCTGAATCCATTTGATTAGTCAACGAATGGTTATGATTTTAGTGTTTACTTAAAGCATATCGTGTTTGTCTATTTTGTTGGTCTCGACTAGATGCCTAAATGGTTTTCGATTTGTCGAAATTTTTTGCAAAGGATGATTTATTATTGAAAAGTAGAATGTTCGGAAGATATATATGCTTCCAAGATTGCTGCTTATATTCCTTTATATTTTCTATTTTTCTCGTAGGTTATGAGCTTCAGACTTAATTGCAGATGTGGTACCCAAAATATATTAATGGTGTAGATGAACTGTTAGCAAAATATATATGGGATATAATGAATTTGATAGTAGCAAGAGAAAAAAAAGTGTATTACTAACCATCATAGATCCACTTTTCCCAGAATTTGAGCCGCGTCCCACTCGGAAATGCAGAAGGGATATCAGCCAATACACGTATAGGGGTTGCTCCAAAAGGATTTTTAGTAATTACCAATCGTGGGCAACGCTGAAGTAATTCCCACGCCATATCTATATTAGAGAAAATAGGAACTGTTAAAGTTAAAAGCTTGAGTAATAAATCAGTAAATAATGCAAGGAGGGATTGTAGCTCATGTGTTTAAGAAAAGTTACCCCAATGTCCCAAGTCCCCTATCCCAATATTGTTTGTATAAAATAAATAAATAAATAATGTGGGTCTGGGTTGGTTGAGAGTTTTACCAAATTGTTTGGCTCGGAAACAAAAGCAAACAAGCCCAGCGCCATAAGGGCCATTCTCTGGCATTAAGTCTTGGATCGGAGTGACGGAGTAGAGATAACGAACGATATCCCATAAGTCCAACTGAGCAGCGAGGAAAATTGGCGTCTTACCCTTGGATACAACAATGCCAAGTAGTTTCTTGTTCTTTGTAACTATGCATTCAACCATTTTGAGATTTAATCTTGCAGCAAGATGAAGAGCTGTCCAATTACCATTTTGCACAATTTCCAAGTCTTCCGGTGTCATCAACTGAACCAACTCTTCCACAATATGCTCATGTCCGAACTTGGTTGCAATGTGAAGAGCTGTCCCTCCTGTTGAATATCTTGCTCTTATTGCATTGGGATCTCGGGTAAGAAATTC